CCCGCTGGGCTCCGGCGATCTTTCAGCCTCAGCCTTCCAAGTAGCCGGAACTACAGCCACGCACTACCACACCCAGCTAATTTTTTTTTTTAATTGTAGACATTAGGTCTCTCCAAGTTGCCCAGGCGGGTCTCGAACCTGCAGGCTCAGGCAATCCACTCACCTCAGCCTGCCAAAGCGCGGGATTACAGGCTGAGCCATCAAGCTCGACTCACATTTTTTTTATTCATTCATTTGTTGATGGACATTTAGGTTGATTCTATATCTTGGCCATTGCGAACAGTGCTGCAATAATCATGGGAGTGTAGATATCTCTTCCATATTGATTTCCTTTCCTTGTGATTTTTTATGATGGTAAAAACATATAACATAAAGTTTGCCATCGTAACTATTTTTAAGTGTACAGCTCAGTAGTATATTCAGTATATTAAGTATATTCACATTTTTGTAAAACAGATCTCCAGAACTTTTTCATCTTGAAAAGATGAAACTCTAGCTCATTAAATAACTCCTCCTTTTATTTTCTTCACCCCTAGCCCCTGGTAATCACCATTCTACTTCCTGTTTCTATGAATTTGACTGCTTTAGGTACCTCATAAAAATGGAATTACATAGTATTTGTCATTTCATGTCTGGCTTATTTAACTTAACATGATGTCTTGAGGTTCATCCATGTTGTGGCATGTGACAGAATCTCTTTCCTTTTTAAAGCTAAGTTTTGCTTTTTCACAATGAGTTTGCTGCCAGAGGTGTTGTGAAAACCTCCCCTAAAGGCCCAAATGGGAAAGGAATCATTGGACACGTCGATTCAGGCGAGTCTACCACTACTGGTCACCTGATCTACAAATGTGGCAGCATCGACAAAAGAACTATTACGAAATTCGAGAAGGAGGCTGCTGAGATGGGAAAGGGCTCCTTCAAGTATGCCTGGGTCTTGGATAAACTGAAAACTGAGTGTGAACATGGTGTCGCCATTGATATCTCCCTGTGGAAATTTGAGACCAGCAAGTACTATGTCACTATCACTGATGCCCCAGGACACAGAGACTTCATCAAAAACATGATTACAGGCACATCTCTGGCTGACTGTGCTGTCCTAATTGTTGCTGTTGGTGTTAGTAAATTTGAAGCTAGCGTCTCCAAAACAGGCAGACCTGTGAGCATGCCCTCCTGGCTTACACACTGGTGTGAAGCAACTAATTGTTGGTGTTAACAAAATGGATTCCACTGAGCCACCCTATAGCTAGAAGAGATACAAATAAATTGTTAAAGAAGTCAGCACTTACATTAAGTGCACTGGCTACAATCCTGACACAGTAGCATTTGTGCCAATTTCTGGTTGGAATGGTGACAACATGCTGGAGCCAAGTGCTAACATGCCTTGGTTCAAGGAATGGAAAGTCACCTGTAAGGATGGTAATGCCAGTGGAACCATGCTGTTTGAAACTCTGGACTGCATCCTGCCACCAACTCGTTCCACTGACAAGCCCTGGCATCTGCCTCTCCAGGATGTCTACAAGATTGGCGGTATTGTTACTGTCTCTGTGAGCCAAGTGGAGACAGGGGTTCTCAAACCTGGCGTGATGGTCACCTTTGTTCCAGTCAATGTTACAACTGAAATAAAGTCTGCTGAATTGCACCATGAAGCTTTGAGTGAAGCTCTTCCTGGGGACAACGTGGGCTTCAGTGTCAAGAATGTGTTTGTCAAAGATATTAGTCATGGCAGTGTTGCTGGTGACTGTAAAAATGATCCATCAATGGAAGTAGCTGGCTACACAGCTCAGGTGATTATCCTGAACCATCCAGGCCAAATCAGTGCTGGCTATGTCCCTGTACTGGATTGTCACGCGGCTCACATTGCATGCAAGTTTGCTGAGCTGAAGGAAAAGATTGATCGCTGTTCTGATAAGAAGCTGGAAGATGGCCCTAAATTCTTGAAGTCTGTTGGTGCTGCCATCGTTGATATGGTTCCTGGCAAGCCCATGTATGTGGAGAGCTTCTCTGACTATCCTCCTCTGGTTCATTTTGCCATCTGTGGTTTGAGGCAGACAGTTGCCGTGGGTATCATCAAAGCATGGACAAGAAGGCTGCTGGCAAGGTCACCAAGTCTGCCCAGAAAGCTCAGAAGGCTAAATGAATATTATTCCTAGTACCTGCCACCCCAGTCTTAATCAGTGATGGAAGAACAGTCTAAAAACTGTTTGTTTCAATCGGCCACTTAAGTGTAATAGTAAAAGACTGGTTAATGATAACAATGTGTGGTAAAACTTTCAGAAGGAAAGGAGAATGTTTTGGGAACCATTTTGGGGTTTTTTTTTTGCATGTGGCAGTTTTAAGTTACTAGTTTTTGAAATCAATACTTTTTAATGGAAACAACTTGACCAAAAATCTATCACAGAATTTTGAGACCCATTAAAACAAAGTTTAATGAGAAAAATAAAAAATAAAAAAGCTAAGCTTTTTATATGTACTATATATTAATTATATATATATAATTTTGTTTATCCATTTATTCATCAATGCACATTTTGGGTGCTTCCACCTCTTGGCTATTTTGAGTAGTGCTGGTATGATATTTGTAAACTCCTTTCAAGTCTTTTGATTCTTTTGAATAGATACCCTGAAGAAGGATTGCTGTAGCATATGATAGTTCTATTTTTAATTTTCTGAGGAACCTCTGTACAGTTTTCTATAGTGGTATACCATTTTACATTCCTACCAACAATGTTGCTTAAAGGTTCCAATTTCTCCACATCCTTGCCAACACTTTATTTTATATTTGTTTTGTTTTTGTCTTTGCTTTTGATAGCAGTCATCCTGGTGGGTATTCAGTGATATTTAATTGTGATTTGATTTGCATTTTTGTGATGATATGTGATGTTGAGTACTTTTTCACATGCTTGTTAATCATTTATACCATCTTTGGAGAAATGTTTATTCAAATCCTTTGCTCATTTTTAAATCAGTTATTTGATTTTTATGGTTTTTTGAGTTGCAGAAGTTCTTTTTATATCCTGGACATTAACCTCTTGTCAGATACATGATTTGCAAATATTTTCTCCTATTTCATAGGTTTCCTTTTTACCCTACGGATTGTGTGCTTTGATTCTCAAAAGTTTTTAAGTATGACCTAGTCTTATTTGTCTGTTTTTGCTTTTGTTGCCTGTGCTTTTGGTGTCATAGCCAAGAAGTCATTGTCAAGTCCAGTGTCATGAAGCTTTACCCCTATGTTTTTTTCTAGGAGTTGTATGGGTGTTGCATTTTGGTCTTTAATCCATTTTGATTTAATGTTTGCATACAGTATAAGATAAGGATCCAACTTCATTCTTTTGCATGCACCATTTGTTGAAGAGACTGTCCCTTCCCTGTTAAGTGCTCTTGGCATCTTTGTCAAAGATCATTTGACCATATACGTGAGAGTGAAAAGAAAACCCTTTTGAAAAACTCCTACTCTAATTGGATATGACAGTGTGTTGTTTCTAATGCCCAGCTGCAGCTCTGTCTTCTGGAACCATGGGAAGTTAAATCCAAGACCTTAAGGTCCCTACTCACATCTCTAGGCTTCACTAACTAACTACAAAGCCCTCTACTTACAAAAAGAGTGATTGTGATAGCCTGTGAGAAAGTGGATGGAGATCAAAAGTAGAAACTTAGATTGCTTACAAAGATTGCTGATAGAGAATTTCATTTTGACACTTAGAGTTTCCTTATTCATCTTCCATTTATCCCAGCACAGACAACCACGGCTCCCAGCAGGACCAGCCTCCTCTCTGCGTCTCCAGCATCATCTCCTGCTGATCTCTTTTTCTACTTTTACACTCCAGTGACAATGAGCTTAGTGTGTATCCTGACACAAGAGGAGTGGGTGGGAGTTAGAACTGCATCCTCAGCTCACTTATGCTTCTGGATTAGGCAGCTGCAAAACAAATCACCCAGAGACGATTTTTTTTTTTTAGTTTCAGGGGTACACATGTGTGTTTGTTACATGGACATATTGTGCAGTGGTAGGGATTGGGTCTCAGGTGGCCCATTCCCCAGATAGTGAGCATTGTGCCCCTTAGGTAGTTTCAGAACCCTAACACCCCTTTCTCCTCTCCCCTTATTGGTGTCCCCAATGTCTATTACTTCCATCTTTGTGGCTCTTTAGCTCTCACACATGAGTGAGAACATGCAGTATTTGGTTTTCTGTTTCTTAGTCAGTTTACTTAGGATGATGACCTCCAGCTCAGATTTAAACTCAGAGGTTAAAGCAGCAGTGGTTTACTTTTGCTTGAGTGTCTGCACATGACAGGGACAAATCTCCTTCAGGCAGTGGCACCTGGAAGCAGGCAAGTGGGGGCGTTTTCATACCATGATGGCCGAGGTGCAGTGGGAGCCACAACACCCCAGTTTGAGCCTGTATACCCTCATTCCACTCCACAGTCCATTGGACAAATCAAGGCACATGGTCTAGTCCATTATCATGGGGTGGGGAGATGCCCACTCAGTGCTCCAGTGGGTGATTCTGCAAAGACCTGCGGCAAGGATGACATATAATTGTAGTTCAAGAAATGTGTTTAAAAAAAAAAGGTGGGGGAAATGCTTCAGTCCATCACAGTCTCTAACCTCCCTTCCAATGATCACACCCGTTAGCCTCTTCATCTGTAAAATAAGATAGCTGGACATGGTGGTACATACCTATAGTCCCAGCCACTTGGGAGGCTGAGGTGGGAGGACCATCTGAGCCCAGGAGGTCATGGCTATGGTGAACTGTGATCATGTTACTGCACTCCAGCCTGGGTGACACAGTGAGACTCTGACTCAAAAAATAGATTAATTAATTTTTTAAAATAAGAGTACTGGGCTAGGTGATCTCTGTTCCTTCCAGTCTCACCTTCCTGAAAATTTGATGAGGAGCCAGTTGAAAGAAAGGGAGAAGAAATGAGATAGTAAAGATGACCTATGCCTGGCACTGGGGTTGGCACATCAAGACATTCAGGAAATGTCTATTGACTCAATGACTTGGACTTCTGCATCCAGGTGACTGGGAAGCTGGGAGTTAACACAGTAGTGAAAGAATAAGGGATGCTTTTCCTGGGCCACAGGTGTTCACTGGCCTTCCTGTCCCTGGGGGCACAGGCCTTTGGAACTGCAGTTGGAGTTGCAACTTTGCAACTTGAAAGTTGAAAGCATGACATCCACATGATTGTCTCCCCACCACCCCCTTTTTTTACTGCTGTCACTTACAGATCTGGTCCATTGATGGTAAGAGCCCTTGCTCCTGAGTCCCTGGGCAGCATGGGAACAGGGTGATGTTGTGTCCGGTTCCCAGTATTGGGAGACTTGCAAGAGGACTGAGTGGGGACACCACCTTTTGCTGAACTGTTCCCATGACAAGAGAGGCAGCTTCTTTGAATTTTCACTTTTAGAAAATGAAACTATTTTGTTAGACACAGGCACAGAAGCAATTTTCTTCTGAATCCTGCATTTCTCCTGAGTTGTCCTGAGTTCTCCTGAATTGATTTTGTCTTTCAGCTTACTGAGTCTCCTAGAGATGGGATTAGAGTGTTCTTAACCTCTGAGCTGATTTCTATTGTGCCTTATCTGAGTGCCTCACAGCCCTTTAGATGTTAACCCTGGCTTCAGGCTGCACCCCTCTTGCCTCTTCTTCCCTTTCAGCCCCAGTTTGTGCTTTGTGGCAACATGTCACATTATATGTGTATGTGCAACTGCATGGTAGCTCATGTTTTGTGTTTTTTCCCAGAAGGCCCTGTCTGCAATAAATCAGTGTTTAGTAACTCTTAGCTGGCTGCACACTGCACAGATATATCATGGGTGCCTGGAAGCAGACAAGATTTTTCTATGTCCCTGGTTAAGTTGCATGGTGTGAAAGCAGAAGAATCTCTAGGTAGGAAAGGAACTCAAAAGTCATTGTGCCAGCTATCTGAGCAAACTTCTCTAGTGATAGAGAGCAAACCTCTCTCTCCCCAGAGGTTGTTCCTTATACACTGTGAATGTTAGAAAATTCTTTCTCTGATGATCTGAAATAGGTTTCCGGGGAACATTTGTCCTCACTGGGATGTTTCTCTGTCACTCATTGCTGGTCTTATGCCCTCTCCATGGCTGTACTTTTCATCTTCAGAGAGGCTGGCTCAGTGACCCTGCATATTATTTATTGTAGCATAACAAATCACCTCAAAATGTAGCAGCTTAAGACAACCATAAACATTATCACAGTTTCCATGGGTCAGGAATTCATGAGTGGGTGGTTAGTTGGGGTGATTCTGGTTCAGGATTTGTCATGCGGGCTACAATCATTTGAAGGCCTCATTGGGCCTGCAGGCTCCACTTCTAAGGTGGCTCATTCACATGCCTGACAAAGTGGTCCTGGCAATTGGCAGTAGGCCTCAATTCCTCGCCCTGTGGATTTCTCCAAAGGACTACTTGTGTGTTCTCACAACATGGCAGCTGGCTTTTCCAAGGGACAGTGATCCAAGACAGAGCAAGACGGGAACCACAACCTGCCTCCCTTGAAGTCACACTCAATTTCCACAATATCCTGTTGGTTACACAAGTGAGCCCTGCTTAGTGTGGGAGGAAGGCTCCAAACCTCTATGACCCTTACTTTCCTCATCTGTAAACAGCCCTGCGTGGCTGTACTATTTCATAAGTGAAAGGGATGTTTTTGAATGTAAGGATTTTGCTAGCAATGGATGCTTAACTAATGAGAACCTCCTGTTTAACTCCCACGCTTCTGTTTAACTGGTACAGTTAAAGAGATCAGGGCTAGATTTGCCAGAGGATGAGGAAGACATAGTTGAGCCCTCCTCAGGGGAGTAGCGAGCCTGTGGATTATCCTGTGGTTCAGGAACCTTGTCATGGGGAGACCACTCTCTGCTGATAGGGCCTTTCTCTTGTTCAGTCCAAATGGTGGATGGGAGAAGGAAGGTCATACCCTGTTATTGGGTTCTACGGGGGCCCAGTAGAGTGTTTGCTCCATGGATGCCTGGACCTCATCTATCTTGTTCACCACTTTGAACCCATGGCCTGGCCTGGCCTTGGCAGGCCCTCAGTAAATACCACAGTCTGTTCATTAACTTCTTCCTTTGATGATCTAAGTTTCTGGGCAACATTTGTCCTCACTGGGATGTTTCTCTG